AGAGAAAATAATGAATAATCAAGATATTGAGAAACGTAGGTTTTTCCTGAAAAATTTTTTACTGGACTTGAAAGATTTTAGAGAAAGTGGAAGAGAAAATAATGATATAACCAAGATGTTAACATTCGACACAACTTCAAACAAAAGGTTAGGAAAGAAACGGCCCATCAATACTGGAAAGAGCGATAACAGCTACTGGACTTGAGAAACCTATTTTCCTGAAAAATTTTTTTAAGTGAAAGATTTTATAAGTGGAAGAGAAAATAATGACATAATCAAGATATTGACATTCCACACTACTTCAAACAAAAGGTTAGGAAGGAAACGGCCCATCACTACTGGAAAGAACGATAACAGCTACGGGACTTGAGAAACCTATTTTCTTGAAAAAATTGTTTTAAGAGAAAGATTTTATAAGTGGAAGAGAAAATAATGACATAATCAAGATATTGACATTCCACACTACTTCAAACAAAAGGTTAGGAAGGAAACGGCCCATCACTACTGGAAAGAGCGATAACAACTACTGGAATTGAGAAACGTATTTTCCTGAAAAACTGATTTAAGAGAAAGTTTTTTTATAAATTTCATTTGAAACAGTATCGGCTGCTCGATCAATGAATGCGAAATGTTTCCTTATAGAGAAACGGCTCATATTAACACTCTAAATTTGAGTAGATGCTCTGTTTTTACATCTACCGGCCTGAAAATTTGAGAAATCTTGTTAGAAAAATAGGCGTCTTCCGGCAGGATTCGAACCTGTATCCCCTGAGGGACGCCGTTATAAGATTTGACGTGTCTTTCATCAACTCAAACACCTAGGACCGTCTGATCAAATAAATCCCGAATAATCTGGTAGATAGGTGTTCAAAAATATTATGAGATCAAATCTAATTATGGTTTTCCTTAGGGGATGCAGGTTCGATTCCTGCCGGAATGGGCATATTTTTCTAATAAGATTTTTCGAATATTCAGCTGGGTAGATGGAAATAAATAAACAGACGGATTAATAAATAAATAAAAACAGACCATCTACCCCAAAAACAAAATCCATGTAACATTAAAACAAATAAATTAAGTATATATATATATAATCAACGACAAAATTATTCATATACCAGTCAATTTTGAATATTTTTATCCATTTCTCAGAATCTAATGCCCGTATGATGCCAAGTTTGTTAATAAGCACAAAAAAAGGAACATAAAACTCAATTTTCAGAACAATAGGTTAAATACCACAAATTTGACAGGAAAATTATGCAAAATAGGAAAAGTCAAAATTATTCGTACAGTAGAAAATATAGTTTTAAATTGATTGATTCGTGCAAGTATATGTAATTTACATAATTATTTTATCGGTGAATTCTTCTAGACTATTTATTCAGTAGAATATTTGTGATAATTCCAGCAAAGAACATCACGTGGTGCATAGAGTGTTACCATTGTTATCATTATGTTAACAACTCAATGGAGAAAAGAAAGGAGCTTAGGCTTAATGTTGACTTGAGACAGAGAATTATTAACTTCCACAAGTCCGAAATTGTTACATCACTATTTGAAACCGGTTAGCTATCCCTAGATCTGTGGTACAGTCCGTTATAAAGAAGTTTAAACGGTTTGGTACGACAGAGAATTTGTCTGGGCGTGGAAGAAAATACAAATTCTACTTAATAAATAATCTAGAAGACTTCACCGATAGAATAATTATGTAAATTACTTATACTTACATGAATCAATCAATTTAAAACGATATTTTCTACTGTACGAATAATTTTAACCTTTCTTATTTTTGATAATTCACCTGTCAAATTTGTTGTATCTGAGCTATTGTTCTGAAAATTGAGTTTTATATTCCTTTTTCGTGTTTATTAACATATAAACAAACTTGGCATCATATGGGCCGGGAATGGATAAAAATATTAAAAATTGATGGGTGTACGAATAATTTTTGTCGTTGACTGTAATTGTGGTTCATGTGTGTGTGTGTGTGTGTGTGTGTGTGTGTGTGTGTGTGTGTGTGTGTGTGAACATTTGTAAACACACTACAAATTAATGTTTGAGAAAGGTAAGTTTAAAGCCTCCAAAAAGAATTTAAAAAGCGACATATATGAAATATAAAACGAACGGAAAATAATCTATGCAGCCATTAATGTACTAGCGTCTGAACAGTGTGGGTTTTTCTTTTTTTTTCTTTTACCCAGCATGCAACAGCCGGATGTCTGATGTAAATAGCTTCAGGTTTCTCTTCTGATATCAGCTTGAATGTACTTCGTCATTGCCATGTCGGGAGCGCTGAAACTAATTTTAGATTTTAAAAGCCAAATCACAATCTTTTCATGTTTCTTTCTTTCTTTGTAATCCGAAAAGAACAAACCTTTCAAAAACGTTACAGCACTCGACAAATTTCAGTGAACCATACGACACTTAGAAAGCAAAGATAATTAGGCTAGTAATGAGGGCAACCTTAAAGATAACTTGTTTCAGTAATAATTGTCACAAACAGAAAGTATACTGCAAAAAATAAAGAAAGATAGAAAGGAAGAGAAAAAGGAAAAAAAAAAAGCAAGTGAAATTATAGATGAGCCAAAATTTCCTAAACATCAAAATGGCGGATGTCGTCTGTTTGGAGAAAGAGAGGAGGAAGTTAATCATATTATGAGTGATTTCTGCGACTGATCCAAAAAGAAATACTAAAACAGATATTATGACGTAGGTATAGATATATTCACGGTGGCATTCAGAGACGAAATCCAATCGATAAGAAATTAAATTATTGTCAATAAAAATGGCCACCCAGATGTAACGTGGCAGAAGAATCACAAAAGAAAGAACAGGAATTTGACTATAGATAGATAGATAGATAGATAGATAGATAGATAGATAGATAGATAAATAGATAGATAGATAGATAGCAGGTCTAACACCATCGCCATTACTAAGATGACAACACAGTCTTTCTCCTTTCATCTCTTTATTTAATAATAATAATAATAATAATAATAATGGCAGGTCTAACACTATCACTCCTACTACGATGAGAGTACAGTCTTTCTCTTTTCCTCTCTTTACTTAATAATAATAATAATAATAATAATAATAATGGCAAGGCTAAAACTATCACCACTAGTACGATGAGACGAGAGTTTTTGTCCTTTTCTATCTTTTCTTAATAATAATATTATTATTATTATTATTATTAATAATAATAATAATAATAATAATGGCAGGTCTAATACCATCACCACTACTACGATGAGAGTAACTATTTAAATATTTTTCAACAGTTACAAAAAGAACGCGATGTAAGAAAAGAAAAAAAAAAGAAAAAACGCAGTGTTTGACAATGTTAAACAATATTTCGACAATATATCTGCCTTCTTTAACTTATATTAAAAAAAAAATTCAAGTTTAAATATATATAAATCTACAAAAAATTATAAGCCTTTGTAGAAACATTGCTTGTCTTCTAATAAAAAAAACGGATGTAATGGTAATCAATGGGTCAAAATGAATGAAATGCCGCCTGATTGAAGTGATGCAACTGAAACATGCTTAATATGATGTTGATCTTGAAATTTTACGTTAGTTGATTAGTTACAAAGAGAAATTTATCAAACAGCTTAATATAAATCTTATGGAACTCTCCTGTTATTTTGTTCATTCTCCCGGGCCAGGAAGTTAATAATTTGCTTACGTCACCATTCTCATGCGTTTTAACGGTCGATAGGTCCGTAGATTCTGAATATTTTTTTTCAGAATGTGCACCGTAAGATATTGGTCGAAATGACAGTCATTTGTAATAAAATGTTCTGCAAGCTCTTTTCATGTCACGTTGTATCTGTAGTAAACAAAATGATATACGTAACTCTTTCAATATTTTCAACAGTTAAAAGAAGATCACGATTTAAGAAAAGATAAAGAAAAGAAAAAAAAACAATATTTCGACAGTATGTCTGCCTTCTTCAGGTTATATTAAAAAAAAATAAGTATAAAAATATATTCATGCACATTCTGCAAAAAAATATTTAGAATCTACCGACCTTTTTTGAACTTAAAATTTTCCGCTAATTTTTTCACTAAGAGGATTTAATTAAAGAGCTTAGTATTAATCTAATGGAACTCTCCTGTCATTCTCTTCATATCTCCGGGCCGGGTAGGTAATAATTTGCTTACATAACCATCCTCATGCGTTTTAACGGTCGATAGGTCCGTAGATTCTGAATATTTTTTCAGAATTTGCACCTTAAGATGTTTGTCGAAATGACAGTCGTTTGTAATAAAATGCTCTTCAAGTTTCGTTAATGTGACATTGTTGTGTCTGACATCTTACCTGTGGCCATTGAATCTTTGATTTAATTTTTCCCTTGTGCATACCTACATAAATCAAGTCAGGTTTGGTACATTGGGCGGAGTATATCAATTGGGAATTACGACAATTGCCACCCTCTGTAGAAATCGGGATGTTTCTCTTTGTATTTAGAATAGAATTAACTTGATTCATGTTACACAACGCACAGGTGTTTTCTCTTCTTTGAGTATTTTCATCAGGGATGATCTGTTGATCTTTTCGTAGAATTCTATAATTTTATACTTGAAAATTGAAAAAAATATATAACATGAAGAAGACAGATATTCTGTTGAAGTAATAGAAATAAAATTAATAATTGTAATAATAAATGCCCTTATCTTGTATCGGGCGTGGCTATCATGGCTTCTTATGTTAACTGATTGGAAATCTTGGACATATTTGGACATCTTGGGGAATTGCTCGACCTCTATTATCCAGCCCGATACCGGTTTATCGTAAAAAGAACGTTCAAACTCGCAGCTTATTTACATCTTTTTAAATTTTAAATTATTTGTAACCAAATATAGTAATTCCGTGATAATTAAGGAAATTTTGTATGTTTTTTGTTTTTTTCAATTTTTTTTTTTGACCAAATCAAAAGAACTATTTTGTGAGGATCGGATTTTGAATTGTATTTTCTAAAACTACAATGTCGACCCTCCCAATGAAAATTTCTGTGTCTATGGTTCGTTATCATCGAATATCATCATTCACTTGGGATAAATCTAAAAGCCACTCGCTTCTTTTCGCTTTTTGTTTCCTTCTTTTCATCTTTTTCGTTTTCGCTCCATCCTCAAACGTCCTTTTCTTTCTTTCTTTCTTTCTTTCTTTCTTTCTTTCTCGCTCTTTCTTTCTTTCTTTCTTTCTTTCTTTCTTTCTTTCTTTCTTTCTTTCTTTCATAATTTTTATCCACAGCCTTATTCTTTCTTTCATTATTTATTTTCACAGATTTATTCTTTCTTTCTTTTTTTCTTTTCTAGTTTGATTTTTTCTTTATTCTTAAACTTGTTCATTCATTCATTCATTCATTCTTTCTTTCTTTCTCCCTGCTTTGTTTTGACTTCTTTCTCAATCACCGTTTTTAAATTTGCCTTTCATTCATTCATTCATTCATTCTTTCTTAATTTTATTCATACAGTCTTTTTTTCTCTCTTTCTTTCTTTCTTTCTTTCTTTCTTTCTTTCTTTCTTCCTGCTTCTTTTTCACTTCTTTCTCAATCACGATTTTTACCTTTGCCTTTCTTTCTTTCTTTCTCGCTCTTTCTTTCTTTCTTTCTTTCTTTCTTAATTTTATTCATACAGTCTTTTTTTCTATTTCTTTCTTTCTTTCTTTCTTTCTTTCTTTCTTTCTTTCTTTCTTTCTTTCTTTCTTTCCAGCTCTTTCTTTCTTTCTTTCTTTCTTTCTTAATTTTATTCATACAGTCTTTTTTTCTCTATTCCTTTCTTTCTTTCTTTCTTTCTTTTCTTTCTTTCTTTCTTTTTTCTTTCTTTCTTTCTTTCTTTCTTTCTCCATGCTTGGTTTTCACTTCTCTCTCAATCACCATTTTTTCCTATTGCCTTTCTTTCTTTCTCTCTCTTTTTTCCTTCTTTCTTTCTTTCTTTCTTTCTTTCTTTCTTTCTTTCTTTCTTTCTTTCTTTCTTTCTTTCTCCCTGCATCGTTTTCACTTCTTTCTCAGTCACCATTTTTACCTTTGCCTTTCTTTTTTTTTCTTTTCTTTCTTTCTTTCTTTCTTTCTTTCTTTCTTTCTTTCTTTCTTTCTCCCTGCTTCTTTTCTCTTCTTTCTCCCTCACCTTTTATACCGTTCATTCATTCATTCATTCTTTCTTTCTTTCTTTCTTTCTTTCTTTATTTATTTATTTATTTATTTATTTATTTATTTTTTTTTTTCTTTCTTCTCCTCCTGATTTGTTTTTACTTTTTCTCAAACTTGTATGTCTTTCTCAAAAACACTTGCCATTATTTCAATCATCTTTGTCGTCCTTTCTTTCTTTCTTTCTTTCTTTCTTTCTTTCTTTCTTTCTTTCTTTCTTTCTTTATTCTTTCTTTCTTTCGTTTCACAGCGTTATTGTTTCTTTTTCCCTTTTCAACTTGATTCACTTAATCAACTTATCCATTCTTTTTTTTATCTTTCTTTCTTTTTCAATTTCTTTTCCTCTCCTCCGACACCACTCTTTTCTCCTCCTCCTCCCACGTCTTGTTTTTCTTCTTCCTCCTTTTCAATAATTTCCCTTCTCCCATCCTTCTTCTTCCTTGATTTATCCTCCTCTTTCTTCATTTTTTACTCCCTCATTCCTTCCTTTTCCACTTTCTTCTTTTCCTATTTTATCTTTTTTCTTTTTATTTATCACTGTCAACACGCACTACTTATTCTTCCTTTTCTCCTTCTCTTCCTTCTCCTCCTCCTTCTTCTTCTTCTTCTTCTTCTTTTTCTTCTCCACCTTTTTTCTTTTCTTTTTTTCCCACTGATACTTCTTCTTTTTCCTTCTGCTTCTTTAACTACTTTGTCTCTTATTCATTCTCTTTTGTTTTTCATCTTTTTTTTTAACCCCCCCCCAACAATCTCCTTCCTTGCTTCCTCCTATCACTTCTTCTCTATTTATTTTTCCTACTTTAAATGGCATTCGTTTCGCGAAAAAAGAAACATGTTCAATAACTCATAAGAAAGAAATTAAAAAAAAGGCATTTTTGGCCTTTCGGGCTGGAGGTATGCTCATTTTTTATTTGTTTTTACTATATATATATATATATATATATATATATATATATAGTAAAATATATATTTTTATTTGGTTTTTACTCTCTCTCTCTTTCTTTCTCTCTCTTTTTTTTTTCTCTCTCTCTTTCTCTCTATATATATATATTTATATATTTATATATTTTTTGTTTGTGTGTATGCGTATTATTGTATTTTTTTAAAAAAATTTAAATTTAATAAAAAATCTGTATTTATATTTAAATCTGTATTCCGTTTCCTTAAAATCAGACTTAAAGAAAGAATAGCTTTTGCGAAGAATTTCAGATTTTTCAAATAAGACGATATTATTTTATCGTTTTGTTTTGAGCAATTTCTTTTGTTTCTTCTTCGACTTTGGCGTACGGACGCCATCTTTCTTTTAAGCATTTTTTAAAAAAATATTTTAATTCATTTT